AACTACCCTCCCACCCACCTACCTATAGATATAAACATTTATATAGATTTATATTAGATAATGACTATATGAGTGGCACTGTTATATCATAGATTAGGCATATGTTTAGTTTTAGTAGGTACTGACAAAATTTTTCAAAATTGTAATGCTTTGTATACTTCCAGCAATTTATGAGAGTCTTCGTTCCTCCATGTTTTCTTCCTCCTTACTCTTTTTAATATTAGTCATTCTGGTGGCATTAGAGAGGTAGATTGTTGTGGCTTTAATTTATATTTCCCCAATGACTGATGATGCTGAATACCATTTCATATGCTGTTTGGCCACCTGGGTATTATTTTTGTGCAGGGAGCAGGCTTGGGGTGAGGCCCCCCATGCACCTGTAGTATGGTTTGGATTTCCCACTGGCACCCAGTTTGGGGGCCTGCAGTGCTTCTTACAGGCCTGTCCAGGTGTGGGGCAACAGGAGAAGAGAAAGGGATGGAGCATGAAAGCTGTCAGTGATCAAACATCAATAATGGAGTTATATTCTTCATTATAATGTCTCTAAGATCCGTAGTTGTGAAGAGATAATAGATCTTAATATTCAGTGAAATAGTCAATACTTACCTTGTTGCCTGCACTTGGACCAAAGATAAATATGTATGGAATAAGTAATTGTGAACAAGAGATACTGATGATCTTAACTCTTTGGGCTGGTCAGGGACTAAGACTTTAAATGTTTTATGTCCTGCTTGTCTGTGCCATGATTATTTTATAAGTGAGAACTAGTGTTCCAGAAAAACTAGAATTCCAGAAAAAAAATACTATCATTGTCACTGTTCATTTATCCATGGCCATGAACTAAGCAAGGATCCTTGGCTAAATAGTAACAAACTTAACGAATATGTCTTATGGAAGTTATTACCTCTTAATTCTCACAAAGACTGTGCAACAGAGAAGAAAGGCATCATTTTGTATTTGCTTTTGTAAGAAATGTAGGCTTATGAATGTTGAATGGCTTGCCCACAGTTACTGTTTTCTGGAGCAGTAATTTTATTTAAACCATGTTTTAATTACCTTTACATTGGAACAAACACATGTACATAAAGGATTGTGATGAAAAAATTACATGCTGTGAGGTGGCTTAAGACTTCATCCCCAGTCATGTGCTTTGGGTATAAATGTTCTCTGGTCTGCCATTTGGGAAAAAGTTTAAGGATTACTGCATAAGGATGCAACTGTTAATAAAACAAGATACTAATGTTCCAGGAACAAAACAAATCATCTGGAGGCAGTGAAGGATAATAGGACTGGCAGGCCCTATTCCCAATCCCTCAGGGTCACCTAACTCTATCTTTGCCTGTGTGTCTGACCCTGAATTTACTCAGATATGGTTCTTCTCTAGCCAAGCAAGAACAAAAATCCATTTTCACTTTCCCCAAGTTGGTAAGTGGTGGGGCCTAGATTTGAGCCTTATTTCTCCATCTACAAAATGGAGATTATAATAGCTATTTCATAGGGCTATTGTAAATATTTTTTAAAAATTAAATGTATGTGAAAGGCTCTGGTCACTGTGGATGCTCTGTAAGTACAGTTAGTGGCTAGCTGAATCCATCCGTTCTGGAAGAGGATATGACTCATCTATACCCTGAGCTTCCTTTAGGCAAGGGTGGCTAACTTCCCCGTTTGCTTAGTCCCAGTTTTAGCACTGAAAGTTCAGCACCCCAGGAAGCCTCTTCCTAGGACACAAAAAGTCCCAGTATTTGGCTATGGGTACAGAGGGATGCGGGGGAAAGTATAGAACCCACATGGCTACCCAAAAATTAGAGCTGAAAGGAACACAGTTTTTAGTGTCAAATGGACATGGCATAGATGATTTGCCTTTGTAGTTGCTTTTGCTTATTTTTTTTCTGACCATTGATGTTGGCAACCATGACTTGTGGCTCACAAAAATGGAACACTCACTGTAGCATCATTCAAATGATGTGATTTAAGTGTCCAAGTTAAAGTGTGTTGTAATTATGAGCATTAGCAGTCCATTTTTTATTTTGCCTGTGGATTAACTATTAGACTTTGTATTGAGATAGTGCTAGTTTAATTTTTGATGTTGTGACTATCATAACCGTGTTTTCTAGGAGTTCAGATAGAGAAAATGAGAATGATGATACCAATGCCAAAATAACCCTGGCACTACCTTAATAGAAGGCTAAATGACTGATTTTAATGACAGATGGAAGGCCATATACAACCGATTGGAGCACACTGTCCATCATGGAGAAAACAATTTGGGATGGGGCACAGCAGAGGAGAGGAAAGACTGAATCTCACAGGTCTAGGATGAGACAGGGAAACAATACCTCTAAATCAATCAAAAGGTGACTTTTAAAATGTTTTTGTTCTGCTCTTGTCTTCCCTGTAAGATAAATTCTAGCCGAAATAAGCAGGCGACAAAGCAACTGTAAGAATAGAAATAGGTTAGCATAAGCATAGCCATCTTAAAGGCCTAGAAGCCATTTTCTGAGTATGTGACTTAGAAAGAAAAACTGGAACTGGGTAAGGCCTTGAAAAACAAGTTAATCATGAGCACCGGGTGGTGGGCAGCTGTGACCCTTGGTCAGCTAACCTTGGTCAGTAAATCTTACATACCAAGCTTATCGTGCAGAACCTCCCTAACCATTGAGGAGTAGTCTTACCCTGCCCTTGCTTAACCCCAGGATATATGTCTTGCAAGAATAATGTATAGTTATAGAAAATTGCTATGAGTTAAGTGCTTTGAAATTGCTATATAAACCCTTGGCTCTGAGTGCTCGGGGTCCTTGTTGAGACCCGCTGCGTCGGGCTGACTTGGACCCCAACTAGTTGGCTGAATAAAGACTTTGCTTGAATTTACATCTCTATGCCTGTGTAGTTTGTTCTCTGGGGAAGCCTCGGAAGCCTGGACCCTAACACAACAAGAGGCAACAAGGGCCGGGCAGTTTATTTGAGGGCAATTCCCAGGCGAGATCCCCGGTCTGGCTATCACAGGCCGGGGGAAGTCACGCCCAGGACAGGAGGTGGGGAGTTTTTAAGAGAATAGGGAAGGGAGGGGGAAGTGGGTCACCCTAGGGGTAGGTGGGGAGTTTTTTATTGGCTCAGGGTTGGGTGATGGACAGCCAGAGGTCTCCTCCTTCCGGATGGAGGGGGTCTGCATCTGGGGTTAGTCGGCATGTCATGGGACTGGAATCCAGGAAGAGCTGTTCATTCTTTCCCCATACGGCAGAGTTACTTGGTGCTGTCTCTGCTCCACTGGCACTGTCTTCACCCTTCTCCCTCCAGTCCCTCTAGTCTTGCATTCCCCAAAAGACACCAAGGCCCAGTGGAAAACAGAAGCCACTGAGCTGGCTTTGGTGCGCCCCATGAGCAAACACACACACTTGTATCTTTTCCTTGACAGTTCTATGGAACTGGGTAAAGTTACATTTCCTGACTCAGAGGTTGTAACTAAAATGTCCTGTGTGTAAAAAAAAAAGGGGAAATTTGATAACAGATGCGCTGTCCTCTTACAGGGTAGAGCTGATTCTGTCAGATCTTATCAATAATCATACTGAGACAGGGACAATAGATGTAGTCAGAGTAGGGTGAGGGCCTTGGGAGGGGGCAGGGCAGGGTGGGATATTTGCAGTCAGAGCAATGTAACTACATGCAAGGAGACCCCCCCCCACTAAAACTCTATGTTAAACATTAAGTTCTAAGATCATTCTTCAGTGAGATCAGTTAATGTTCCCCAGATAAAGAAGAGTAGCAATGTTTTATTATGCTAACCATTTATAATCATGTGTAAGATTCACTTTAGCACACTAAAAGGCCCAGGCCTCTGTGCTGTCTTTCCTCCTTCAGATCTGATGAAGTGATTTTGCAAACTTGGCAATTTAGCAAGTAAACCCAGGCATAAACAACACAGTAAAAGGCAAGAAAGATTCCACCTTAAAGATAAGATTGCATTTTAATACCCAAGAAGTTAAGACGTTAGAAATTCTTCACTTACTCTTTAGCAAACAATACCTCAGCCCACCTTGGGGGCTGAGCAGGTGGCCTTGTTTCATATGCCCCCAGACCAAGATGCTGGTATCTCAGGAGGAAATCAACAGAAGAAGTTGCTTGTGTTAAGTTAATTCTAAATATTCAGGGACCACTTAACAAGTCCACACCCCTAAGCTTTTTCATGTTCTCGAAAAATCCTCAACTGCCTATAAAACCCCCTAGACAACGCACCACTACGGGCTCTCTTGTCCCCTCCTGGCATGAGCCAGGAACTCTATTCTCTCACTTTATCTCTAAATAAAAGCCCTACCTTGCTCTCCTACCTTGAGTGTTTGTGAAGCTCATTCTTCGGCTTCGTGAACAAGAACCCCAGCATCAATACTTCCTACAGTATGGTAGGTGATGCATCAAATCATGGCAACAAAAAATGTTGCTCCTACCCATTAGGTTCTTTGATTGAAGAACTGAAGTTTCAAATCATTTTCTTGATTTCCATTAAGATCTTAATACAACTACAGAAAACATCAAAGACTGTCGATGTCTTATCAAAGTACAAATTAGACTTTGCGCATTAATCTGTATGTTCAGCAGACAGTGCAAATGTAAATTTTGGCCAATTTCATCCAGTCTATAAACTTCTTAGCAAAGAAAAAGAAAGGCTCTTTCCAGCTAAGTGGTCTGTATGCTTTGTACCCTGCATTGCTGGAAATGATTTGTTCACCTGTGAATGTTGAGGCTTTTATAATGAAAGTTTTTGGTCACTTTTCAATTCCTCAAAACCTGCAGAAGTACTTAATGAGATATTTGACTTTATAGAAGTGCAAAGCACTTCCTTAGATGTGTGCCTGTAAGATAGCTATTATTGTTGCCAGTCATAAAAAATATATTAAAATGTTGGCCTGCCACAAAATCATGTTTTCAAAGTATAGAACAAGGATGTCTTTTTAAAATCTGCTCAGGTTGTCATAAAAAAACACCATAGACTGGGCAGCTTAAACAATAGAAATTTATTTTCTCCCAGTTGTGGAGACTGGAAGTCCAAGGTCCAGGTGCCCGCAGGGTCGGTGCCCAGTGGGGGTCCTTCTTGTGGAGTGCAGACGGCCTCCTTCTCTCTGTGCTTTCACGCGACCGCTTTATGTTCATGCGGGGAGAGAGGCAAGTGAGCTCCCTGATGGCCCTTCTTAAAAGACACTATTCCTATTGGATCAGGGCCCCACATATGACCTCATTTAACCTAATTAATTCCTCAGAGGCTCCATCTCCAAATACATCTACACTGGGGGTTAGGGCTTTGACATACGAATTTTGGGAAGACGTGAATATTCAATTCATAACACTGACCTTCTTTAATTTGGAAATATATTGAGGATGACAATGGAGAAAAGGATTATAGTGAAACAATTAATGTGCTGTTTCTCCAAAACATTTGATGATCTTTGAAGAAGTCACCAGAAGCCTGAAAAAGGATAAACGATGATCTGACCACACCTGAGGCTGCTGATGTGCCGTATAGGTGACAACAAAAACTTATACAGCAAAAAATGACTTGATTTTTGGAAGTAAGGCTGCTTTAAAACTCTGAAAAGTATCCCCCAAAAAGGGCAGTTAGGCTAAATGGGACTTTCTCAGTTTCTTTATTAAAAACTGTAACTTATTTATAATTTAATTTCTCAACCTTAAATTACCTCTGTGTTTTAAAACCATTTTCCCTGAAAAGGAGGGGTTTAACTTATAATGACATCAAGGAACTTCAGAGTGTTTTAAAATTATGGACATTTGAGAGATAGCCCATCTGATGAATTTATAGATGCACAGTACCAGATTGACAAACAACTGGTCTAAAAAAATCCTGTAGATACAGAGTGAGTGGACATTTTTGGAGAGCTGGAAACTAATTTGTTCCAGTCTGTGAGCCTGCTGTTACAGGTTTACAAAAAAGACTCATAAATAAAATCCTAAGTATGCCTAATGCTGTTGTTGAGAGGGTATTTACCCTGACATCATCACATCAGCCAGCCAGTAGGAATCAATGAAACATACACTTGGTAAGAGCAGAGTTACAGGTGGAAGTGAAGTCTACTGCGCTCGGTTTTACCGCTGCATGAAGGAAGGGCGTCCCGAGGCCCGCAGACAGCACAGAGAAGCGCTTCCGGGAGAGGGAGCCGGAGGGGTGAGTGTGTCCTGCTGGGTCACGGCACAGACAGAAACATAGCATTATTTTTTATTATTAAACATAGGTAGTATCTGTTTACTTAGTTTTATTGCATTTGTTTTCTTTTTACGAAGTTAAGAATATGCAATATAATCTATATAAATATTCAAAGAAGAGTTTAAATAAATTGCTGTATCTGAGGAAACAAAAATATTGTTATATTTTTCTTACATATATTTGTAATTACTACTTACTGTTGCTAATTAGTCCTACTTTGTTTTGTTTAAATAATACCAATTATGAAACAAAAGTAAATAAAACATAACATAATTTTAAAAGAACACCTATTTCCATATTTTCATGTTGAAGTAATAAGACATACATGTATAATAATTTGTTATATATCATATTACTATGGAATTTTGGGGGGTATAATATGGCTTTTCTTTGGTCTGGAAACCCTTTTGTCCTGGGTTGGCTAAGAGCTTGACTTTTCTACTTGGCCCTTCACTTTTGCCACAATAATGCTGTGTAACGAACCTCTCCCAAGCCCGGTGGCTTTCAGCCACAGTGTTTGCGCTCACTCCTGTGGGTTAGCTGGGCTTGGCTCCAAGCAGTGAGCTGGACATGGGCCTACTCCATGTGCCTCATTCTAGGGCTTGGACTGGGGTAGTGCCTACCCAGGGCTTGTTCTTTACATGGTGGCCCACCAGAATGAGAGCCCATGGCCCAGCCCAGCAGCAGGGAAACGAAGATACATGCTCTGCTCACAGCAGGAGGAAGGGGTGGATATTTGCTGAACAATAATCTAAATGACCCAGCCCCCTTCAAGAGCTTTTTGTGGCCCCCATTCCATAACTGCCATTATTTCTCATCAGCTATCCCTTTTTTGCAAGGGAGGATATGAACTACAGTTTCTTGGCTGAGTACACTGCTGACCCCTAAAATATAGGAGGTCTGTGAGTGAATGTCTTGCCAATGGGTTTCAGCCTCAGGCAAGTTCGCTATGGATTCAATGTGACCAAAGAAATTGACAGCAGAATATTCTTTGGGGTGAAAGGGTTTATTACCTGGCTTGTTCTCCCGCGGTAAGTCGAGCACTAGGATCTCTGCCTCCACCCAGAGCACTGGGCTGAGCTCTCTGTATAGCACAATAATGGCTTATTGCCTAAAGGTGTGGAAGCGGTAGCCTAGCAGCAGGCCAGTTATATCATCAGGTGGTTTAAGTTCAGTGAGGATCCTGGCCATAGGAATCCCGACTTCCCCACAGTGAAGAAAAAAAATGTAAACTGGATTTTAGCATTCTGTGCCACAAAAAGGAAGTTGCTTTCTCATTATTCATTCATGAATTCAACAAATGTTTTTTAAAGTTTACTGTGAAGGGGGCCCTGGTCTGGACACTGGAGCTTACCTGAACACGTTACATGTTTGCAGGAACCCAGGGAAGGGGGCTGGACACGAATGACAGTCCAGATGAAGAGCCAGAAGCTGGGGGCAGAGATGCTTTACTGAGTGCCCATGCTTTGTGAGCAGTAGATAAGGATGTCCCAGTCTTTGTCTTATTGTTTTGTTCAAAAGCACTTATTGAGTACTGTGCAAATGGAGGTAGAGGCCCAGGAGGGTCCCTTCCTCTGGGAGTTCAAGCCCCACAAGTGAGACTGACAACGGATTATACTTGCAACAGAGTGACTTCAGGGAGTGTGCTGTGCTCAGTCTGCAGGCTAGAGAGGATTCGGGGGTGGGGGCAAGGGGCCGAGGGGTGGGAGTGGAGATATGTTAGGTTAGAAATACGAGTGTATCAATAAAGGGGAGAAACTGGACGTAAGAAGGTTTAGAAATGTAAACAGAGTCCTGAAAAGGTCATCAGAAGTCACACCTTGAAGGACTTGGAAAGCCACAGAGGAATTTGCATCTAATCCTCAGAGTTGTAGGGAGTAGGCAAGTGGCAGGTCCATATTTATGTTTTGCAGTGATGTGAAATTCAGGATGAGTTGAAGGGAACAGAAGTTGAGCCTAGGAGACCATTTGGGGAGTGTCTCTTCAAGAGTACTGTGAGTGAGACAAAAGTTTTCTTCCAGAAGTGGCAGTGAGAATGGATTAAAGAAGAAAGATTCCAGAATCAATTGGAACAGCCATTGGGACATGGGAGCCAAGAAAGAGGAATTTCTTAGTTCAGCAGTTTAGTTTAGTTTCTCAACTCTGGCTGCGCTTTAGAATTAAATATGGTCTTTAAAAAATATACAGGTTCTCAAGCCTTGGAAATTTTGATTCAGTAAAACTGGGGTGGAGCCAGACATGGAACCATATTAAAGAGTGGGCCGCCAGGCAGCTGCTGGGGGTACCAGTTTCTAAGGAACCCTAAAACATCATCAGAGCAAATTGGAAATCTGAGTCTTTAGAACTGGTGAAAGTAAAGAGAGACTCACTCCTGATGAAGTAGGAAGAGCCCCCTGGTAGAAACAATGAAATATATCACACACTGGATTAAAGATGGCGGCATGAGAGGAGAGAGAGGCTTCCTCCTAAAACTGTATACAATTAGAAAATATAGTTGGCACAACTAATCCTGAGAAAGCAACAGGAAAGAGGACGGCATCAGACTGCATACACCTGGAGAAAAGAGCAGACCTCATGGAACAGGGTAACGTACCAGCTGTGGCTCCTCAGGACCCAAGCCCAATCCCCACCCAAGCTCACCAGTGGGAGGAAGAGAAATGGAGCAGGGAGGGAGTGGAAGGCCTGGGACTGCTGAATACCTAACTCTGGAGATCTGCTCTGGGAGCACAAACCTACATTTCATGGTGCTTTCATGAGACTTGCATGACTACCGGGTTGGAAAGCTAATACAGGCAGAACTCCTGGAGAGACTGAGATTCCAGCCACTTGTGGAAAGCAGGGATCCAGATCCAGCTGCTCTGGGGCAAAAGCTTATACCTGTGTGCTTGGCCCACTGGCTCAGGCAGTGGAGACAGGCACAGCAGCCGGGAGGAGGGGAACAGCTCTTTCCTCCCGCAAGGCACCAATACCGCTCCCCTGCGACCCCTGACATTGCTGCAGGGGCTGAGCAGCTCCAGAATAGAGATTCTGGACACTAGAGGGCGCCATATACAAATATGAAATGCCAAAGGAACCTGGTCCAGAGTAAAATTAATATAACTCTGGAGAAAGATTTAAATGACATGGACCTTACAACTCTTCCTGAAAGGGAGTTCAAAATAAAAATCATCAACATGCTAATGGAAGTACAGAAAGATATCCAAGAACTCAGAAATGAATTCAGGTTGGAGATCCAATTGCTGAAGAGCATGATGGAGGGTATTAAAAGCAGGTTGGATACAGTGGAGGAGACAATAGATGAAATAGAAACTAGAGAAGAGGCATACAAAGAAGCTGAGGCACAGAGAGAAAAAAGGATCTCTAAGAATGAAGGAATATTGAGAGAACTGTATGACCTTTCCAAATGGAACAATATTTGCATTATAGAGATGCCAGAAGAAAAAGAGAAAGAGAAAGGGATAGAAAGTGTCTTTGAGGAGGTAGTTGCTGAAAACTTCCCCAATCTGGGGAAGGAGATAGTCTCTCAGGCCATGGAGATCCACAGATCTCCCAACACAAGGGACCCAAGGAAGACAACACCAAGACACATAGTAATTAAAATGGAAAAGATCAAGGATAAGGACAGACTATTAAAAGCAGCCAGAGAGAGAAATAAGATCACATACAAAGGAAAGCCCATCAGGATAACATCAGACTTCTCAGCAGAAACCTTACAGGCCAGAAGAGAGTGGCATGATGTGTTTAATGCAATGAAGCAGAAGAGCCTGGAACCAAGATTACTTTATCCAGCAAGATTATCATTTAAATTTGAAGGAGGGATTAAACAATTTCCAGATAAGCAAAAGCTGAGAGAATTTACCTCCCACAAACCATCTCTACAGTGTATTTTGGAGGGACTGCTATAGCTGGAAGTGTTCCAAAGGTTTAACAGCTGTCACCAGAGGAAATAAAACCATAGTAAAGAAAGTAGAACAGCTAATTACTAAGCAAATGCAAAATTAAATTAACTATCCCCGAAGTCAATCAAGGGATAGACAAAGAATACAGATTATGATACCTAATATGTAAAGAATGGAGGAGGAAGAAAAAGGAGGAGAAAAAGAAAAGAACCTTTAGGTTGAGTTTGTAACTACATCTTAAGTGAGTTAAATTAGACTCTTAGATAGTAAGGAAATTAACCTTGAACCTTTGGTAACCATGAATCTAAAGCCTGCAATGGCAATAAATACAAACCTATCGATAATCACCCTACATGTACATGGACTGAATGCACCAATCAAAAGACATAGAGTCACTGAATGGATAAAAAAACAAGACCCATCTATATGCTGCCTGCAAGAGACTCACATTAAACCCAAAGACATACACAGACTAAAAGTGAAGGGTTGGAAAAAGATATTTCATGCAACTAACAGAGAGAAAAAAGCAGTAGTTGCAGTACTTGTATCAGACAAAATAGACTTAAAAATACAGAAAGTAACAAGAGACAAAGAGGGTCAATCCAACATGATGATATAACCATTATAAACATCTATGCTCTCAACACAGGAGCACCCACAAATGTGAAACAAATACTAACAGAATTAAAAGGGAAAATGGAATGCAATGCATTCATTCTAGGAAACTTCAACACTCACTCTGAAGGGCAGATCAACCAGACAGAAGATAAGTAAGGAGACAGAGGCACTGAACAGCACAATAGAACAGATGGACCTAACAGACATCTACAGAACTCTACACCCAAAAGCAGCAGAATACACATTCATGTCAAGTGCACATGGAACATTTTCAAGAATAGATCATATACTAGACCACAAAAAGCCTCAGTAAATTAAAAAATATTGAAATTGTACCAACCAGTTTCTCAGATCACAGAGCTATGAAACTAGAAAATAAATTAAGCAAAGAAAATGAAAAATCCCACAAACACATGGAGGCCTCACAACATGCTCCTAAGTAACCAATGAATCAATGA